AATGTAAGAAGGGCAAGTGTGCTATGCAGCACCAACAAAGTCAGTGTTTTCAAGGATCAAGAACTTGACCCATGAATAAAATGACTCCACTCTTGTCTTCTCTCACTGTGAACACAAATGGATGGTCAGCTACGGAATCTGGATTCTTCATCGATAAACATTTTGTACGTGAAAGAAATAGAGATGGCTGCAGCTTCGGTTCCCTCTTCATCCACCTCAATGCAAGCTTTGTGAACAATCTCAGTTAGACTACCTCCAGGACTGAACGGGGAAGTTAGCAGCCATATCTTGCAAAGATTGGTTTGATGTTTTTTCAAAAGCTAGTTTTTGGCATTACAATGTTTCTGTTCCTAGCCCCACCCTCCAAGTCCAAGATGCAAGTTCCTTCCATGTTGGTTTGCTTTTTACTCTTGCAACTATAAATTTCGGATTGGTTTTGGTTGTACAACTTTGTATATCTCCTAACATGTAAACCTTGTTAGAACAGAGTCAAAATTTATTAAAATAGAGCATGGTCGTTCGTGTAGCTTGGAGACAACCAGAGGCAGGCTCAATCCCTGGTGCATTGCATTTATCATTTGGAACGAATTTCAACGGCCATTTTCAAACATCAACGCGAAATAAAGAAAATAATCTACCAGATATAAACCAAACCGAAACAGACACACTCATTATTTATAATCACCCAAAGAAAACAGCCAAAATACACTCTTTGTTTTTTTTTTTTCCTTCTCTGTTTTGTATTTGCATCCAATAGAAAACCAGTCTCGGATTTGAGATGCTAAATCTATCAAATCGCCACCAAAGCAACCTCTTTGGTCTAGAAAAGGCTAACTGCTACCAACATTTCTTCTCTTTTTCTCTCCATTTGCGACACCTGTTGTTGCTGCTTTGTCCACATCCGACAACGACTTCTTCGTTGTCCCAAGAGAAGTAGAAGATGAAAGCCTCTTCTTTGGCAATACCATCTGCGGAGGTTTCTTCTTTTCAGACACAACCTTGTTCTTTTCCAAACCCAAGTTGCCTGTTCCTCCCACATTAACCTTATTGGGTTTCACTGCTTTCGTGTTGGCCAAGTTTCCTGTTGTTCCTACGCTTGCCTTGGCTTTCAAACCTTGCTTGTTATCCAAGTTTCCTGTTGTTCCCACGCTAGCCTTGGATTTCAGTGGCTTCGCTTTACTCGAGTTGCTTGTTGTTTCCACATTAGCGTTCGGTTTCACAGTTTGTGTATTACCCATGGAACTTCTGCGTGAAGACGAGCTACCAACGCTCTCGTCATCTTTGATGTTTGTGGATGATCCACCACCAATGCTGTGCCTGCGATTAATCCCCTCGCTCTTTATGCTCTTGGAGTCATTGTTTGTAGGCCACTGGATAGCTTTTTGGCTGGCTGACTTGAGTGTTTTAGATCTCGCAGGAGAAGTCTTGATGGAGTTTTCGCGTTTGAGTGACGCTTGATCTTCGTTGGATTGAGGATCCCAGGGACGAGAAGCCATCCACCTCTCAAGCCAGCTCCATCCCCAATGAGGTGTGTTTGAGTCCATCAGTGTCTGGTGTGGAAGTTTTGAAGAGTTTCTCCACGTTTGCTGTTTCATTTTCCAACATAATTCTATATGAATATGAATAAGTTCACAACAAGTAACAGGCA